AGTTGCCTCGTTTGATGACAGATTGTCTTTATTCAAAACGCCTTTGTTCAACAAATGAAAAGGTTTAACGAGGTAAAATTCTGCCGGATACATATTTTTTTCTTCTTCTTCTTCCCCAAGACATTGCGAAAGCATATTTAAATTACCATCGTTTTTTATTCGGGTTTTCGTTATTATTATTAGTAGTAGTATTAATTTATTACAGTTCTACTGCCTGACTTCATACCTGACGCTCTGTCTAAAGTAAACTTAGATCTAGTCTCACTGGATCACACAAATTTAAGGACTATCTGTTTTAAATTAAGCAAACACCATCATAAGTTTTAAATATAAATGTTTCTCCCCCTCTTTTTTTGTTGGTTTTTTTTTTAACTTTGAAGAGCCTTTTTCTGACATGAAAAGCAATTTTACCTAGTAGTGCGTGGTGGCAAAATATATATATATATTTATATATATAACACAGCTGATCTCGTCTTTTAATGTGCAAAAGGAAAACAAAAAAAAAATCGTAGTGAGACCAGGACTTCCCAAAGTCAAGTCCAAGTGACATGAGACCCTGGAGAACTCAGATACATTAAGAGAATAAATAAAAATCGAAACTGCCTCTCTTTTTTTTTTTTTTTTAATACATTTACAACTCTTACAAGTGCCGGGCTCCTATCTGACCCCGCGATTGCAGATCCCCCCCGAGCCTGGGGCCAGCTCTCAGGGCGAGGTTTAGGCGAGAGCATCTCGGAGTCCCCGAGGCAGCGTCCTTGTCTGTCCCGGCCCGGTGGCGGGCAGCAGAGTCCTGTTTCGGGTGGCCTTTTGCTTCTGCAGGTTTTATGTACATGGACACGAAGGAATCCCAGTTCCGGCTGCCAGCCGGGACACACACACACATACACACGCCTGTGGGGGTGTGGGTGGGTGTTACATGGCAGTCGCATGTGCTGAAGAATAAGGGTCTATCCCAGTCTTGGTCATGCCTGGGAATAATATGTAGGCAACTGGAGGTTGCAAACTGGAAGCCGACCAAGCGGTACAGTTACATGGCACGACATAGCCCGGGTTAGTTGGCGAGGGGTGAGTGTGGGTGTGTTGGCTGGGGCAACTCAAGCTGCCAAACGCCCCGTTCTGGTATCCCAAGGTGGAGGCGTAGGGCAGGGTGCTGGTGGCTAAGGTGTGAGGAACCTCAGTCATCTTCTGAATGGCGCTGGAGCTGAACTGGCTGGGGTCAAGTAAGGAGTAAGGTGCTGAGGTGGGAGGCAGGAAAGCCCTGGCCTTCTCCGGGGAGCTCAGCAGAGAGTCAGTGGCCCCCACGGGAAGCCCGGCGGCCTTTAAGGGATCGGTTTCCCCGAGGTAAGGCAAAGGGAAGACATACCTGTCCTTTTTGAGCAGGTTCTTAGGCTTGCGCCGGGGTCTGTACTTGTAGTCGGGATGCTCCTTCATGTGCTGCGCCCGCAGCCGCTTGGCCTCGTCGATGTAGGGACGCTTCTCCGCCTCGGAGAGCAACTTCCACTCCGCGCCCAGCCGCTTGCTAATCTCCGAGTTGTGCATTTTGGGGTTCTCCTGGGCCATCTTGCGCCGCTGGCCGCGGGACCACACCATGAAGGCGTTCATGGGGCGCTTGATGTGGT